ATTTTAAAAAAATTATAAGCTACATTGATATAATAAATTAATTTTTTTTCATAAAGTGTCTCTCCTTATCATGGGTTGACTGTTTTAAATTTGCTTTACTTTATATTCAATGATTATTACATCCAATCAGATTCATATTCTCTATTACAAGCTTTGATCAATCCAATTATAACTGTAATCCATCTTTTCATAAATCATGTCCAGCAAGAGTTTCTGAATTAAGCATCTGTCTAAAGAAACAATTTAGTACTAACCTTTGATTTTGGCTATCTGAATCACAGCACTTCCAACTGCTCCAGCAGCAGCATTTATCAACACAGTGTCTCCTGCTTTCGGTCGGCAGATTTCAAGGAACCCAAAATATGCTGTATTCCTGTGATCAAAAATTTAAATTTATATATACTGTAAATGTACTAATGCTCTTTAAGAAATATATTACTATATGGTTTCCATGTACAATAAAATATCAAGAACAAAGAAACAACTCCAAATCCAAATGAGCTGTATACTTTAACTTAGTCTTGACTTTATTTTTTTCCCCCACCCCAAGACTACAACTGAACGTACCCAGGCATGCCCAGAATTCCTAAGCCAAGACTCTTAGGCAAGTCTCCCATCTCTGGTAGCTTCATGGGCTTCTGGAAAAAGTTGTCAGCATTGAAGTCCTTCTCAGTGAGTCGGGTGTGAGAGCGCCAGCCAGATGGAGAGACAACGTACGTACCCACTGGCCACTCTGGGTTCTTGCTCTCAATCACTCTGAAACCAAAATTGACATTTTTTCATTCTTCATCATACCTTTCCAATGTATTTGTATCCTAAAGAAAATGTTTATGATTCAATGCAAGAGAATCTTTTAAAAGAATCCCTGATGTCCTTACATGGGAGAGAAAAGGAGGAAGTACATAAAGATTTACTAAACTCTTTGTGCTTCCAGTGTGGAATTGTTAATTTGTTTATATATTTGTCCTTTCTTTTTAACATGTAAAAATACAAACAAATGGATCATTCTTTACAATAATGTACTCCATTTCCTTTATTTTTTTTAATGAATTAAATATCTATTTTTCCTCAACCAACACTTAATCTAAAAAATACTGTAATCATTCTAGACCTAACCTTCTGGTAAGTGATTTTTTTTATATACAATTTTCTTCAAGCAAAAATAATATAATAAAGTTAAAGACACATACTTTGCAACTTGGGTACCAGTAATAGGGGCATCAAGAGGGATTTGCTTCATCATGTACCGCATGTATGGATCTACACTCAAAAATTCAGCCTCAATAATAACATCTGAAAAAGCATTTGTAAATCATTAGTGTGACTGCAGCACTGAAAAAGTTAGATAAACATTTGTCAGAATATTAGAATAACAGGATTCCTGTATTTCCCTATGTTGGAATAGTACTGCCTTAAGTTACTATTGACAAAACCAATCAAAATTATCAATTAATAAAAGAACTTGATTATCATATAGGAATATACAAACCAAAGGACATTACATATATATATATGTTATATACATATATTCACATTACCTCCATCTTCACAAGCCACCTCTTCTTCCACACACACGAAGTCTTCCTTCTTGGGCATCCCCTCTGGCCGCTTGGCTAGTTTCCACACCTTTGCTGTCACCATTTTGGCTTCTGGGATGCTAGGGACTACAGATTTCCTGCAAGACAAAAGCCACATGCATCTCTATGGATAAAAAAAGTCCTGGAAGGGGAGTGTGCCACAGAGGAAGGAGACTTAAAAGGACATACTGGAAAGAGGGGAGTTGTGGAGGAAAAATGAGGTCAAGGGTATAGTGAGAGAAATTAATTAGCACCGAGTCTGATGTTTTGTATAAAATATTGAATTTATAAAGCCAAATGATCACTTGAAACAATATAAAGAGAAGACAGAAGTGAGAGGAATACAAATCAAGGGAGTAGAGGAAAGATGGCAAAAAAATGAAGGAGATCAAGGTTATAATAGCAGAGGATGCAAGAAAAGCAAAAAATAAAGAGACAGTGGTGGCAACAAGAAATCCATGAAAAATAAAAGAAATGGAAAACAGGCAAAAGTAAGGAAGATGAAAAAAGGTGTACGGGCATAAACTGAGAAGCAATGTGGCTAGTTCTGGAGAAGACATTTGGCAACAGACCAAAGAGATGTGGTATATAAGTGTCTGAAGAAGTATGTTATGGGAAAGATGGTGATAATGGTGATGTATAGTAGGGCAAGTATGGTAGTTGGGACAAATGTAAGACTAAGAGTGTTAGAGTGAATGTAGGACTATATCAGGGGCTTAATGATCTTAGCACACACCCAAGAGGATCTCATATCTAGAGTGGTAGAGTGACTAGGGTGTCTTCAAAATGGAGGACAAACTGAAAGCAAAGATAATAGCAGTAATACTAGGTAGCAAAGCAAAAGCAGATGCAAAAAATTAAGATCTTTGAGGACATGGAATAACACAAGTTATGGAATTTAAATACTTGGACTGTGCTAGCAAAGTAGGGAGGAAAGTGAAGTGTAAGTTGGGGAGAGAATAGAGGCAAGGTGGAGAGAGTGAAGACAAGTTGCTGGAGTATTCTGTGATGAAAGATTGTCTAAGAGGCTGAAGACGAAACTTTACAGAACGGAGACAAGACCAGAAATGAGCTAAGGAACACAGGCAAAGGATTTGAAGAAGACAAACGAGAGACTGCTTAATGCTCACCTAAAAAGTATTTCAGAAAAAAGGTCGTGAATCAAGTGCAGAAGTGGAGTGTATAAATGAAGAGATAAGAAATAGTCAAGACGGTTTGGGCATTTGGCATAAAAAGAAGAGGAGGAAGTAATTACAAGAGCCTGAAGAATATCTGTTACAGAATGACTGTGGGGGGGAGACAGAGTGAGGGACCAAAAGACGAAGATGCAACGGACAGAAAAACTCAAGAATCATGCATAATGCATACTCATGACCAAACAGATATGACAAAAGAAAAAGAGGTGTTAGGATAAATAATATTGTACAATTTTTTTTTTTTTCTTTTTTTTTTTTTTTACCATAAGTTTGATTAGTATGGGTTTCCCAAAGTCTTGAAGTGTAGGTCTATGTTCCAAAGATAATCCAAGTCTTTAAAATCTTATGATGTTGTAATCACAACAAACAGCTATGTATAGTCTTCCTTTCTACTTCATGTGTAGTAGTAGTATATATTTAAATAGCACTTCCTTCTTTTAAAATGCTGTGTTTGTTGATGAAAAAAAAGCAAGAAAAAAAATAAAAACACCTTAAATTTCATGATCTCATACAGATTTTATAGAGGTGGTTTACCGCACATTTGGGTGAGTAACTGGGGCCCTCACTGTTTTATAAATTGCCTCTACCTTTCTTGGAGAAAAAAATAATAGCCCTCTGACTTCAGTTTGCAAAAGTGAGTCAATAAACCTGAGCATTTTAAATTAATTTTACTCAGAACTCGAAAAAAAAAAACGTGGAAAAAAAAATCTGTCTCAGTTAAAAACCAAATGTTTTAAAGTCCTACCAATGCACTTAGGTGTATCACCTGCATAGGCTTAGAAGTAAACTGTCGACTAATTTGTATATAAAACAATATATACATATTTTGATTATCTCTCGCCATTATAATACATATATCACTCTATTCATTGCACATTTAATATTACATTACATGACATAACATTAAATATTACATATTCAAAGACATTAAAATAGGCGAAGAACCACACGAGTCATGAGGTGTTTGTCACTCAAGGCAAATACAACCGTCTCTTGTTACCATGGTCCTACTCTTCATATGATTTTGTCCAAATAACGTACATGACACGGTCTTAAAAGTCCGCTAAGCTCATCTACATACAAAAAACTGATAAATGCGCAAGATTGAATTCATAATCAAGTTCTAAATACCTTAAATAAGGGTAAACAAACAACCACTCACTCTCACGGCCGGTCCGACAATGGCGCTCTCGCCGACTGCGCTCGAAGGAGGTTTCTTTTTAGCGCCACGACGGCCGCCATCTCCTGGCTGGAGCGTTAACTAAGCGATATAAAATGAAAAAAGAAAAATGTATGAAGATATTTATATTTAATGGATGACACAAGAAAAAAAGGTATTTTACGAATGTATGCTGACACGCGTACACACACACACACACACACACACACACACACACACACACACACACACACATACATATATATATATATATATATATATATATATATATATATATATATATATATATATATATATATGTATATGTGTGTGTGTGTGTGTGTTTATGGATACATATATGTATATATTCATATTTATATGTTTATATATACTTGTGTATATATATGTATGTATATGTATATGTATATATGTATATATTATATATGTGTGTATATATATATACATATATGTATGTATATATATATATATATATATATATATATATATATATATATATATATATGTGTGTGTGTGTGTGTGTGTGTGTGTGTGTGTGTGTGTGTGTGTGTGTGTACGTATCACAACAGAAAGTTCCTTCTCTGTTTTACCTAATGATGTGTCAACTTGCATGGTCCCATGATTTCATTGTGATTAAGTATCTTCTGATTTCAGAGCAAGCGCTCATCATTTCAAGTCATTATTATCATTAAACAAATATTCAACCTGAGAAATAAATATAGTAGTACAGTTCTTGCTGGGGCCAAATAATTTTTTCAAAAAAGTTTTCTATGATGGTTTAGAACTCATCATGACGAGACAGTTGGGGTTTGGCTGAAAATGTGCATTTGCATTATCGCCATAAATATGGTTGTTCTAGTTAATGCTGTTTTTGTTTGTATGTTTGCTTGTTTGTTTTTGTCTTTTTTTTTGTATGTATTCTTTAAGAATGTGTGCCAATTTTTTTTTTTTATTATTCAAGAAATCATAATGAGTAAATGACAGATACTTTAAGTGGTGTGACACGCTTCGCCTATAGTAGAAAGGATCGTTTATAATACAAAGTCCACACTGTATACATAACCTTTATTTCCTGTAATAAAATCAGCATTTTTTTCACACCAGGTTTAATCTGCCGTCACCTTGTGTAGTCAGAAATGACTCTATGATTGACGGTTTAAACAAAGATAAACATATTGTCTAAACTTAAAACAATTTTGACATGTTCCGAAGTTCATTTTCGGCATTACCAAGCCAACCTTCATATCCGATGAATATAAGAAATCTGTATAATTTTCTTGACTTAATTAAATGTTTTCAAATTTATGGATTTCCTTCTTGTACCTACATATAGCACTTTTAAAATCTAGCTTATTGCTTACAATCCTATCTGTTTGAACACTTACGTTAGGCGTAAGTTGCAAGCTAATTAGGTAGTGAAACAATTTTCCTCGTCAAATTTACTAATAGCCACAATTAGAAAAAATTAAATGTAGCTATCCTGTCCTCTAGTTCTTCAGGCTGTTACAATAGCTTTGCCAATGTTGTCACCGTGGAATAGGCCAATGAAGGCTTCAGGCATTTTGTCAAATCCCTTTACTATTGTTTCCTTGTACTTGAGTTTGCCCTGAAAATAATATAGTTGATTTTAAAATAGAAACTATTCAAAGAAGAGCTCAATCACTATTAAGGCATTTTCTATCTATATCATGAACTTCAATAGTTATAATGAAGACGAAAGAACAAGAGAAAAAAAGCGGGCAGTGAGAAAAACAGAAACTAAAAGTAAGGTAAAATTGAAGAGGGAAATTACAGAATACAGAAGATCCAGGTCTAATTAGATATACGATTGGAAAACTATGAATACAGAAGCGACGGCTTTATAATGTAAATTCATGATGAAATAAAGTACAAAACATGAGCAAACAGTTACTGAAATGACTAAAGAATGATAAATCAGGTGCATAAGTAAGACCTATACACATAATTTCACCAATAAAGAAAACATAAGTTAAGGTTTCCACTTACCTCAATGATCCACTGCTTTAACTGATCAATTCCCTCCATCCAGCGATCAAACCAACGTGTAACAATAAAGCCTTCTACTTTCAATTCTTTCCAAAGTAACGTGGCTTGATTCAGTGGACCTGAAATGTTGAGACACAATACATAGCATAATAGGCAGTGAAGGGAATGCACAGCCCCTCTTCGTAGTTGCAACCAGAATGTGTCCAGTCATAAAACTATAATTGCAAAACAAGCTGTTCGTATTCTTCATACAGACAAACGATAAATAAATTTGAGGTGTTTGTGTATATATATGAGTTCCCTAGTTTTAAACTTTGCTTCAATTTCCAAATCTTTTGCCCTAATTGGAGGCCAGGAATAATTGTAAAAATAAACTAAATACATAAATATAAATCACTTGAACTACAGCTAACCCAGTACGTACACTGAACTACAACTCAACTATGTTTGCTTAACAACTACACCTTTCTCAGTCTTATTTACTATCCTGGAAAGATCTGTCCAGTGAGTTATCCTCTCTCATCTTGCCTACGGAAGATAATATGAGAGAAAGCCTTAAGTTCAAGCAGTACATGTTATTGAAGGGTCTACCAAGGGCTGAACGTGTTTACTGTATGATAACTGTGAATAGCCGGGCAGATTCAACGTTCTTGTTTTGGAGAAAATGAAAAAAAATGTTCCATAGGCCACTTCGCTGATTATTGTACCAGGCTGCATTTCATGAATGTAATTTCTGCCTTCAGTTTATATTGTGCCAAGTGAACTAGTTTAACCAACTTTAGTCTACAAAATTATAGCGACTAGAGGAAGCTATTATTCCACCGATCCCCTAGTAAATAGCATGAACAAGTTGGCAACGAAAGTAACATAAAACTTACTAATCATTGACACCACCCCAATATCTTTGTCGTTGTCATTATACTCTGAAATGACACCACAAATTGCCATTCTGCCCCTCTCTGCCATGTGAGGCAGGGCTTCAGCTGTGAACTGCCCTCCAACCTTAAATGAAAATGATAAGAACACTTGATTAGGATTAGATGAAAACTTATAATTACAAATTGAAAAAGGCAATACATATTTAATACCAGTATGCTATATTTATAAATAAATGGTACAAATTATATTTAAAAACTTGAGGAGGCTAGAACGGAGGTTACTATTTTCTACTATTTTCTACAAAGGTAACGTTTTTCTAAAGGGCCTCTGTTATAAGCTATAGGGCCGTAAATAAAGACATCATTCGACTTTCATTAGCTTTTCTACATCACAGTAACTTAACGTGTCAAAACATACATTTTCAAAGAAGCAATGAATATTTTCTGGTGCTGCCTGACTGAGCGCTTCCCCGATGTCGGTTGTTTTGTAGTTGAAGGCGTAGTCTGCCCCCAGTTCTTTAGTCCATGCTACCTTTTCTTCAGAACCCGCAAATGCAATTACCTTACAGCCTAAAGGGACGAGAGGAATCCATTATAATTATTATTGTCATTATTATTAATATTATTTTATGAAATCGAATAATTACCCAATGTAATCAGCGAAC